CTGCCTAGGGTGCTCTGGTACCACGTAGAATTATGAGCATCCTTATGTTCGAACATGGTGTTTGTTATGGCCAATCCATGACTAGCACAGAAGTCCAGTAACAAACCACCACTCCGGTTCAGATCAGGGGGGCCGTTCCTCCCAATCACACCCCTCCAAGTGTCTCCATCATTGCCCACATGTGCGTTGAAGTCTCCCAGCAAGATTAAAGAGTCCCCTTCAGGAGCCCCATACAGGACTCTTTCCAGGGTCTCCAGATGTACATCTAAAATCACCTGTAACACAAAGCTGTCCTTAAAGAACTAAGTTTTAATATATTGTGACTTTTATTGTGTGTGCTTCTTTTACCTGCCTGTGGACTATGAGGTTAATTGTAATAGCATTTTTGCTAACTTCATCACTTTTAGCTCATTTATCATACTGATATTCATTAACATACACTGTCCCCAAATCTATATGAAGTAAATAAAATAAAAAAATGTCTCCTGACTAATTTTTGTATGAATTATGGGGGAACAAAAATAGTCACTTAAAAAAGAAATATGTCCACAGTGTCATGTACTTTTTGTGTTACATTTTGTGTTGAGTTGTCATCTTTACTTGCATGTTTTTCTTTAAATACCTATTTATTGCAGTAGAATTGTTGGAAAAAAGCCTAAGGAAAACAAGAATGTGATTGCCAATGACTCCAATTGTTGAACATATATGGCAATATATGAAAATACTTTAAAAGAAAAAGAAAGATGACTTACAATGCCCTCATTTTTGTACATTTCCAAAATCTTATTGTGGTTACTCAAATATGTCTCTTTGTATTTGCTTGCACCATGACATTGTTAACAAAACCACAAAATATAAGCCATGTTTTGTTGTCTGTGTTTTTTGCAATTTTTTGTATCCGTGGAAACACTAGTCACTGAAGGTTTCACTGATTGTTACCATGGAAACTGGCTATTAGTTCTGAGTTGGCCTCTCACAATGGCTTAGTATTTAAGCTAAAAAAGAGCCAGGACCAATTATGGACTACTTTGACATTAATAACAGGACTTTTTGACTTTTAACTTAGAAATTATTTATCTAATTTATCATTCCAATTACTTGCACTATTTCCCTATTTCACTTTTTACTATTTTTCCTTTTGTATTTAAGATTTACTTTCACTATTTTTTTCTGTTTATCTGATTTATTGTGTTGCACTGTTGGAGGAGCCTGCATGTGACCTAAGATTTGTATCGTCATAACTACACTGTAGCTATGCACGTATGACCAATAAAAACCTTGAACCTTGAACCTTGAACCTTTTACTTAAAGGGGCTTTTCTTCCTGTAGTGTGTTACATAGGTTGTCATCTCCTAGCAACCAACCAAGCCGGCCAGCTGACCAATCAGATTAGACTGGGCTCTGGTTTCAGACAGAGGGTGAAAAGAGGTGCTGCAGCACAGGCAGTATGAGAAAAATAAAGAGTTTTTTGAACATTAAAGCATGGAGACATGTCCCAGAAGAGGCACAAGATACAAATATGAAGCTGAAAATGAGCAAAATATGTCCTCTTTAAGTACAGCCTCTTAATATTTTTAAAATGAATGTCTAAGAGCAACATTATGACTTGTGAAACACCTTAGACGGGTCTAAAATATGTTTTTGTAACCGGGCCAAGCAGTTCTCAACATTATTCCTTCAGGAAGTGCACTCTTTTCCCACCACCTTGCTGTGAGTGTGTTTTCTGATCAGGGGCTTATTGTTTGTGGAGTTTGAAGCCGTGGGAATATCATTGTGAATTGTAGACGGTTGTGTTTCAAAACCATTAAAATAAAATAATGATTGTGTATAATCATAATTACCTGCTATTTCATAAATCTACTTCATGGAGAGGCTGATGGATAATGAATAAGCCACAGATATGTGGAAGTAAATTAATTACTGGAATTAATAAACCTACAGTATCTGTCAGTGAGATAAGTGATAATGTGATATGCAATGGGGATATAGGTATAAACTCAATCATAATTCAAATATATTATGGGAAAATCTTTGGTTCTACTTTTTAGTTATGATCTGCAGGTTTATCTGCAAAGACCAAAAAATGTAGTGTCCACAGAGTTGATGCATGACCTTTAAAAAAGGAAAATGTATTTACTTTACCTGTCCAATTTCATTCTTGATGGCTGTATTCAGGCAAAGTGTTTCCTTTCTTTGAGTCGTGGCAGCGCTTCACGTCTCCACCTCAGGCTCTAAACAGTCAAACTGTCAAATGTATACTGCAAACACAGAGGTTCCTGATGAAAGCACCACATGTCTATTTTCCTTTTTTTTAAAGATGTTTTTCGCCTTGTGTTGCTGTGTGTTTGTGTGACAGTTTATCTCTTTTTCATATGCAAATTAGAATGATAACTCTTGTTTTCACACACAAAATTCAACTATGCATGTCTAAACACAGCAAAACAAAAAAAAGTCAACATCAAATTGTGCATTTAGAGGTACAATTATTTAAGTCTGTTCAAATTTGACTTGGAATTAATCTAATTAAAATGTAGTTAGACAGGTATAAAATACATTGAGATACACTTAAAAACAGTCCTTAAAAACCCCAGAGAACACAATAAAAATCAAACAAATTAAAATAGAATAAGGTATAAAATAAAATAAAAAGATTACAGAGCAGTGTAAAATATGAATAGTTATTTGAGGGCTGTGGGCTACACTTTTAAATTATGCAAATATCCCCGAGCTTGATTTCCCTATTTACTGTCTGTTTTCTGACCCTATTTAACCCTGCAGTCAGGTTTGTCTACAATGTCAGCCTGTCAGGAAAACAGCATCTAGTTTTTGAACAAGTGACAACGTTTCCGCGGGGAATGTGAACATGACAGGCGTTATGAGGAAGTAAAGTGTGCCCAAGATACACAGCGCTGTTTACAGAGGAAGTATGGGAAGAGCTTATGATGTGAATGGTGTCCATGGCAACTGTTGGCAACATGTCTATAGCTGTCACTGATGTGTGGTGAAGTGAAATGAAAGGCTGCTTTTCAAATAACTGAGGAAATCAAAACATCAAACCATCAAAAAGTGAGGCGTTTGTGTATTTAGTCTGCCCTCATTGATAGAAATGGGAAGGACTGAATAATAATGATAACACCTGTCAGTGTAACACAATGCAGTCAAACAGCAACACAAACTGTCGCCTCCAAAAATATCATAAAGTTCAACACCACTTTAAAACCTGCCTTTTAATCCTTTAGATGTGTTGTGCTCTTTTTGTAGGTTGCTCTGCAAAATGTTATGATAAGCAGGTGTTAAGGATTTGAACCTCAAAAAATAGCTTCATGTCCAAAAGGCTTTTTGGGGGGTAAAAAATGACAACTTTCTCAGTGTGAAAAAATGCATTTCTCAAAATCCAACCAATTATTTTACATTTTGTAACAAAAAGCATACAAACAATTTGACAAAATCTAAGACGTGAACACAAACCTCCATTTGATTCTTCACAGAGGTAAGTAGATGTAAATATTTTTGAGTTTTTATTTTCATTTTGTATACATGGTACACCCATAGGCTGCCGTAGAAAAAAATATTAAATTGGAAATACTTAAAACACAGTTATAAAGAATAAGTACTCATAGGAAAAGTAAAAACTGTTAATACTGTGAATTTTTTTTTATTATGACATTCCTAAATGGGTGTATAGTTGCTTCAAACCACATGTAGGCCTATTATGTTCTCTAAACCCAACTATGACATCTTTAAATACTGCATACATGTTAAAAAGGGGGCTTTAACTAAAGTATGACCAAGTACATTAACATTAAGAGTATTTCGTATGCATACTGACTTATTTTACTGCTTTACCAGTGTGAAATGCACTAGACTACTGTACCCAAGACTGATGCTTAGAAATGCATTATTTGGCTAAATGTATATGGACACATCTGTGAGTAGTTTTGGTCTAAAGGGCTGAACTTGATGGTTTGGGGTTGGCTCCTTAGTTCTTAGACATTTAAAAGGGAAGTCTTAATGCTGCAGCATACACTGATAGTTTAGACAATAGTGAAATCCAGTGTTGTGGCAGCAGATTTGGGAGGGCCCTTTCCTGTTTCGACATGACAATGCGTCTATGCACAAAGGCAGGTTTGTAAAAAAAAATGCTTTTCCCGTTTGGTGTGGAAAAGATTCAAGACCATTAGGAAGGTAACATCGGCCAACAACAGCGATCAATCTCACTGATTCTCACTGGCTGATATTAGCATATTTATTACCTTTCTTTTGGAAAAATATGCTAAATAATATATATCATATTTTAATGTGCACATGTTTTTGTTCCAGTGTCAGAGGTTTGGACATGTTTAAAGTAGCCTACGTAGAATAAAATAAAAGGCACCATTTACAAGTGAAAAGCCCCCATTAACATGTAGCTTCTTTATTTACTATACACTAGGGCACAACTTTTTGGCTTGTAGGCTATATCATCTGCAGCAGCTTTTGGCCACACTAGACATTGTGAACATTATATTGCTTGAAGCTCTGTGCAGGCCAATGCTGAAATGAAAATCATTAATATGCCAAGACAGGGTTTTGAATCCATCACAAGAGTACCTTGAATGTAATTAGCATTATTTTACTAGTGTATAACATGTACATATGTTTGTATGCATTAGTTTATTCTAAATTGATAATAAAGAGTATAGAGTAGGTTTGAATCAAAATCAACATCATAAAGTGAAACAAGCTAATAGAAAAGTGGCCAATCAGGTGGTAGTGAGTTACAAAAACAAGAAAAGTTTCTATAACATTTCCTGCTGTGGTGAGAAAACTCAGCCAAAGAATATATTTTCCCAACTAAGTCAAAAAATCACAGCACACTCTGGATATTACAATAGCAGAAGCAAAACACGGCTTGAGAGTCACAAAGTCTCCAGTCCACCTTAAAACTCAGCTCTGACAGACTGTTCATACACATTTCCTGAAAACGCCCCGTGGAAGGAGAAACAAAACAAAAAAAGGAAAACTCAAGTGACTCCGAATAATAATAATAAGGCTGCCTTGTTTATCCAACGAAGGGGGGTTGGGCATAGGCTGAATTCTGCCAAAACTTTTCTAAATTTCCCTTTTCTCCCCCCTCACTAAACTTTGTATCCACACTACTGCCTCAATCTCACCGACCCAAGGTCAGCGTCAGTGACCGCCCACGGGAACTGGCAACGCGGCAACAAACCTCCGTGGACCCCGGCTGGATTTTTTTTTTTTTAACATGGGAGTTTGAGTCACTGGCTGAATACACGACGGACCACCACAGACTGTAACAGTACGGATGGAGGAAGCCTCATAAACAAAGGAGTGAAATAGCCAGAAAAAGTCAACTCAATGAGCGATAAACGCAGTGAAACCATGTTGGGAAACCCAGGGTCTTATGCGAACAAGAAGAGGAAGAAGCCCGTTCTCAAACAGTAAGACTTGTCAGAAACTCGAGTTGTGTGACTTATAAGCTTTACTCTTGACTTTTTTTTAAGTTTGTGTCGCTATTCTGAGTAGATATGCGAACGCATGGGCTTACATTTGGAAGTTAGGGTAAAGTTGAGTACGTGAACGCACCACCAAAAGAGCGTCACTAACTTTTAGTCACTTACATTAAGTGCTGTAAATTAAACAATAAGGTGGGCGTTAAAATGAATGTGCTTTCTTTTGAAAAGTTGTTACAAATTAGATTAGTTTACAGTCGGTAAAGTATCTGATCAGACGCCGTTGACTAAATGAAGGTAAACTAAGTTAAGGTAGACCGTATCCTCCTGTAAAATTGTATCATGTCTTCATTAAATATCCATATTTCTAAAGTAAAAAATTGTGATAAATTAGATTAGCTCATGTTATGACATTAGACACCGTTGAGAAAATGCAAGATAAATGAAGTTACATTTCGACCACATGCTCCTGTAAACTTTTATCATATCTTCATTATATATTCATAACTCGAAAGAAAAAAAAGTTGTGATTGAATAACTTGTAACACACACCCGGTGAAGTGTGGTGTTTTGTGTGGAGGATTATGGTGTGTGCTGGCTTTGTTTCTCCTCTCCCCTGGACCACCTTAAGAATGTGTCTAGCTCGCTTGGATCTGGCATGGATATCTTGCCCTCGCGCATTAATCACAATCAAGTTGGAGAGTCGGCTGCTGCTCTCACGCGATGCTCCGAGGAGGGC